TCTCACTAAAAGACTTTAATCATTTTTAAGTCCTGAAAAACTAAATGCATAATAGATATAGTTAAGAATTTTGATGGAAATAGGGTCATATAACCAGTGTTGAGACTTATTTAGATAATTTATCTATTTAATTATTTAGTTATCTTTTATCTTACATAGATAAATAGTTGTGTTTTATCTAAATAATTATCTAATATAAAAAATTCATCCATCTAGATAAATTCGTCTCTATACAAAAAAATGATATACACTTTTTACTGTAGTATCTAAGCTGTACTGTCAAATGTTAGACTTTATAGTATGTATTAAAAAAAAAAAACATCTTTTTTTTAATTTAAATACAAATGTATTTATCTTTAATCTTTATCTAGATAGATTTGAAATAGGTACCTCTACCAGAGTGCCTAACCACTATCAATGCACTCTAGTGTACCTACTACCTAGTACCTAAGTTATATTATTTCCTATTTTATGCTTTTTTGATTTAAAAAAAAACGCTGTAATTTTTCCAACGAAACATGGCTGCTGTCTACTCAGTCACTCTCTAATCTAGGCTCCCTAATAAAAAACCATATAATATAGTTCTCATCGAACCATACCACATAAGTAAAAAAAAAAAAAATAATAAGTAATTTTAACCATTCTTATTAATCAATCAAAAATTAAATTCATAATGGCCTACAGAATGCTATATTATGTACATATTGTAAAAAAAAATATCTTATAAATAAAAAAAATGTAGGTATAAATAAACATAGATATAATAAAATTATAATTTAAAATAAAAATTTTCTTTTTGATTTTGCCATTATATTCAACACTTCATTTGGTGAAACTGATATTTCCCAATGAACGGATAAAAGAGTCAGCCCTGTTAAACGGTAATTTCCAATTTGGTTTCGAAGTAGTGTTTTTACTCTTTTTAAAGTTGAAAATGAACGTTCAACTTCAGTTGTACCCCAAAGGTGGGCATTAACTAGTTGAAAAGTTAAAGTTCAGTTAAAAAGTTAATTTTTTTTTAACTTTTTAACTTAACTAGTTAGTTTATTTTCTAATCAACTTATGAACTTAAATAGTTTAATTTACAATTGAAATAACTTAGCTTTTCTCAGTTGATTTAAAAAAATCCATTAAGTTAAAACATTTTGAAATTGTACGTTTATACTTAAATATAACGAATTTCGAACGCTCATAAAAATTTAATTTGACTTTCTTATAGACATTTTTTTTTTTGATAAAGGTAGATAATCTTATAAGTAGAGCCCGGATTAATATGCACTAAAAAGTATCAAAATATGCCATATTATATGCAGTAAAAATCATTAAAATATGCAATAAAAAAAATTATATTAAAAAATTAAAAATTATGTTAAGCACGAAAAAAATACAAATATTTAAATTTAAACACATACAAATAAATACATAATTATTTCTATTTAAAAAAAACAAAATATACTTATATATTTTATTCTTTATGTTAAAATTAATTATTAAATGATATTCAAGTTTTTCTTGGGTAAAACTGTGCCGTCTATCTGTTAATAAATGCTTTTATATTGAAAATGATCTTTCAACATCTACCGAAGTTATTGGAGCAAATTTAAAAGAGCTTAAAATCATTGGATCTTTATAATTTTGATCTAGTTGAACCACTTCCGCTTCCCCTATTAATACTTTATTAATGTTACGTAATACTGTTAGGCCTTTGTTTTTGGAAAAAATATCATTTAATTTTGTTTTTAATGTTGCTCCTTTTGGTCCAGGAATAGTGTTTATTTTTTCTTCTAATTCGCTTATCAAAAAAAAACTCCCAGATAAAAGCATATTTTGAGTTTCAAGTTTTTTAATTATTTCAACTAAAAATGACAAATGAGTTGATGTAAATGTTAATTCATTCACAGTCGATCTATATCTTTAATAATATCGAGTACTTTTTTAACGCATTGTGCATCGTCTTCTGCGAGCTTTTCAATTACCTTTTGGTATTTTATAAAATATTTCGCGTAATATAAAGCAGCAGCTATCCATGTACCCCACCTTGTTATTACTGGGGCCGGAGGTAAAGGTATATTTTCCATTTCATCTTTGAAAATTTAAATTCTACTCGGTGATTTTAAAAATATTATTTTTCCATTATTGATTAAAATATTAATGTTAGGAAATAATTCACGAACTTTTTCAGCAATTAGATTACAGGCATGTACAATACAAGTCACATGTATCATATTAGAAAAAAACAATTTCAAAGATTTTCCTGATTTTACCATGTACGGAGCTGCGTCTGTCAATAAGAGTAATACGCGTCTTTCCATGCCTACATCCGTCCATAATAATTTTAATGAGTCATTTATGAATTGACTTATAGTTTCGTTATTCGTTTTATTTAATTGTTTGGATGTCAAAAGATAAGGTCCCTGCATAATCCTTGTTTAAGACACCCACAAGTAAATTAGAGATGTATAAGCCCCTCGCATCAGTGGTCTCATCAACTACAACGTAAATAAAATTGTTTCCAATTTTTTCTTTTATTTCGTTCATTGTCTTTTGATAAATAATTTTTCCGCAATGAGCTTTCGTCAGGTATAGATATATAGATTGGTATATTTTGATAAGAAATTTCGAAACGGTTTACTTTGTAATTTATATAAAGGTATATCGGATGAAACCATGGCGAAATATAAATCTTCGAAAAAACTGGAACTGGATGGGGAGCTAGTCGAAATTAATTTTTGTTTTTGAAATTTTCTTTTAATTGCAGACACATGCACCACTATAATAGAAAAAAAATCTTTTTAAAAACTATGTTTATATTACGCCTGCATATAATTAAATTAATTGTTTAAATTAAAGAAGTACCTGTATTCATATGTTGATCTAACTGTGATTTTCTTTCACAAGCTATTTGTTTTCCACATGCGTTACAAAATATTATTTTACCATCCGAAGTAAAAACTTCTGCGTTTTTGTTTGCAGAGGAAATCCACTCACGTATTTTAGAACTAAAAGAACTACTGACTTTTGGCATTTTTTTTTATATTAGTATAATTTTTTTGGTACGGTAACTAAACAATGTCGACGTCAATTATTGCTAGGTTGTGACTCGAGAACCGTTACTAAATGTTCATTTCATAGTTTTTAGGTACAAGGTTAAATTATAAAATTAAATATAACATCGATAATAACGATAATAAAACGATTACTGAGTGATTAGATTACAGAGTGTATAAGTTATAAGGAATCTTGTATTACATTTTCAAATCTTAGATTTAAAAACAAACATTTTTACGAATTCTTAACTCAAAATAATTTGCTAATTTTCGTGATTTTTCGATATTTTGTCAATTTTTGAACTTTAAATGCTTATAAAAAAAAACTGTGACTAACGATTTTTAATATTTTTCATCTGCCTTTGAAACAATATATTAGGAGCCTTCTATTAAATTTTCAACTTTTCGCAACCAACAAATAAAATTTAATTGATATTTTTAGAAAAAAAACTAAAAAAAGATGGAAAATGAAAATGTCCCTAAACAGTTCAAAATAAATCAAAATATTTTGAAAATGTTATCGTGTATTTAAATGTAAATATAAACAACCAATGAAAATGTCATGTATATACGTTCATTTCTTTTAGAGTTACACCAAAAATCAAAATCGATTTTTTGGAAAACCGATTTTGCGTAAAAATTCCCGTTTTTCCTTAATTTTTATGTTGTTTTTCCCGGTGCTTGTGAAAATTACTGGGAAATTTTTACTTTTGACCCCCCAAAGTACCAACTACATTCACTTTCCTATCAGAGAAGATACTGTTGAAGAAAATCCAAGCACTTTTACTGTCCTAAAACGTGATGACAGACACAAAAAAAAAAATAAAAAAAAAACACACATCATTGTAAAATCACTAAAATCAATACATTCATCGTTTCACTCAGAATCTAAAATAGATTAACATTTTTTAAACTGAGTTAAGTTAATATTTTTTTCTATATGAACTTTTAACTTATCGAGGTAAATTTATAATTTGTTAACTGCTAACTTTTAACTAATCGATCTTGTGTCCTCTTAACTTAATTTAACTTGAGTTAATTATTTTCATTAACTTGCCCAACTTTGGATACTGGGAGGGTTGCCAAAACTCGTAACAAATGTTTTATATTTGGGTAAAAAAATTTCGTCGATGACATTTTGGGGGGGGGGCGGTCCGGACCCCCCCCCCCTCTGGCTACGTCACTGCACGCAGAGATTGGCCGAAAAGTCAGGCGCGGATACAAGGGGGGGCATGGGAGCAATGGCCCCCCCCAAATCTAAAAAAAAAAGATGAGGCCGGTGAAAAAAATAATAACATTGATAATAGAATAGATCGAATTATTCTTATTAAATATTTCTATATTAGATTATAATGTTCCGTAAAATTGATATTGGTTTTCGGACAATTCTATTTATAGAATTTTCTGTAATTTCTAATTGCTTCGGCGACCGGCGTGGCGTAGGCTAACGATGCCGTGACCGTTTACGTTATCGTCATAATCGCAGATATTACATTTACCATTAATTCCATTGCTACAATATTGAATATTATATAACATTATCATTTTTCTACGGGATGCGGACAGCGTTCAACGCACTGCGATAAAACGATTTATATTGAAAAAAATATTGACGATTATACGAGGCGTGAACTTTTAATAAATCATTGGGTACCACCGACAAACTACGTATTTCCTTTCTCTGAGCATAATAAAAATGGTAAAATAATACGTCGATTTATTGGGCAACAACATTTAAATAATTTTAAATGGTTAGTATTTTCACCATCAAAACAAGGTTTATATTGCAAATATTGTCCTTTGTTTAATGTACAAAAACAAGGTGGTTTTCAACGTAATGTAGAATTAAAAAAATTAGTTACTCAACCATTGACAAAGTTTGCAAAATTACAAGGAAATACAGGGGATTTACATGGACATGAAATCACTAGATATCACAATGAGTCTGTCCAAATGGCTGAACTTTTTTTACAAAATTACAATAATCCCAAACTTCAAATACACAATTTATTAAATACGAAACGAATGCAAGAAATAAAAGAAAATCAAGAAAGACTTATTCCAATCATAGAAAGTATAATATTTTTGGGAAGACAAAACATCCCCTTTCGAGGGCATAGAGATGATGGCCAACTAGATTTACCGTCTACCATTGAAGATGGAGGAAGTTCAATAAACGAAGGTAATTTTAGAGAACTTTTAAAATTTCGAGTCAAAGCCGGAGATTCTACGCTTGAAAATCATCTGAAAAATTCTTCTTCGAAGACAACATACATTAGTAAAACAATACAGAACGAACGTTTAGATCAACAATGTGTGAAACATGCTTGACTGGACTTGCATTATTGAACATCCACAGGGACATAGACATCGATGTTGAAAAATTAATTGAACGTTTCTCCAAAAGCAAAAGAAAAATTCCATTTGCAATTTGAAAACCATAAGTCATAAGAAAATTAAGCTGATTTTAAGTTGTACATTTGATTAGAATTTATCGTAAATTATTAACTATAGTAAAATTTAGCTTAAATGTAGAAAAAGTAATGTAATTAAATATTTTATAACCAATAAAGTAAGATTGAGTAACCTAAATATTTCAAAAAAAAAATTTTTGTTTAATTATTTTTTGGTCTTTTTAAAGGTAACCTAATCATCATTATCCTGATGTCGAACAATATTAACATATTAAACCCTGATAAACTTTATTAATAATATTTGATGGCCCCCCCCATAAATCTGTTCTGGATCCGCGCCTGCGAAAAGTCTCTACGGACCACGTGTATCTTACGATTGAGCGTGGTCCTTATCGGCGATACCTATTTAGGTATACGATTGCGCGTGCATTATTATTTGTATTTTCATGCAACGTTATGCAAAATATTTTGAGTTGTTTACGGACATTATCAATTTTAAATTTTTTTAGTTTTTTTTTTCTTTAAATATCCATTAAATTATATTTGTTGGGTCAAAAAGTTTGAACATTTAAGACAAGGATCTTCAGTCCTCATACGCAATGTTGTAATATCAGTTTTATAATTTTGAAAATACATACTTAGGCAAGATTTTTTTCATAAGCATTTAAAGTTCAAATTTCGACAAAATTTATCATAGGTATTGAAAAATTTACAAATTGCTTTGCAGTTAAAAATGCATAAAATGTTCAATTTTTATAGTTACCTATTTTTAAAACAAGATTCCACGTAAGAAGTTCATACTGAAACCAAAAAATCTAAAAAAATATAGTTATATACATAAAAACTGTTTTTTTATATAGTTATTTGAAGTTTAAACTTTGTTCAGTGTATGGTGTTCTTATTATAACTCTTCTTCTTCTTAGTTAGGTATATTTACCGAGTGAACGGCATTTTAAGCAAAACCAAATGCTCTGTAGTGGTTTAGTGGTAAACAGACAAAAATACTCAATTAAAATAAAGTTTAATTTGCAAATTGAATTTATTTACATAATTACATATAATTATAGGCACATGTCATAGCCTTTCAAACTATCAATTTCAACTATATGTTAATATAATATTATTAACACCATAATGGTATAATATTGAAGTGTAATAAGTATAACATATTATGTGCAGTTTTATTACACAAAATTAAAATTAAACAATAATAACTAATAGTTTATCATATTAATGTATATCGTATTTGACAATTACCATTATGTAAAATGTACATGTATTGTAAAAAAAAATAACTTAATATGATGTTTAGTAATAAGTATGATGAATTTAACAATAGTCTAAGACTTAATAAAATAAACATAATTTTTTCATACCAATATAATTTATAATATGTAACATTCAATTAAATCGCTATTGACCTTCAATTAAAGCATTGAACTACTTTCTGTTTCGTTTCCGTTTTCTGAACTTTCATAACTGTTGGAGACATCATAACACATTTCCTGTAGTTCATTTATACATACATTTTTATACTGTTGAGATTTATTATTAACAGAAATTACTAAATCGGAATTTTTTATTTGTGAATTGGTCCGTCGTGGCGGCTTATTATGGACATTAGTGTGCTTGAGCATGTCATTCTTTTGTGTGAAACCACGTCCACAGATTGGACATTTGTATGGTCTTTCACCTGTGTGTGTACGCATGTGAACTCGCACTTTTTCAGGTCTCCCAAAGCGCTTGAAGCAGATCTCACACTGGAATGGCTTCACTGGTTCATGGACCATTTGATGCTGGCGTAAATTTGCTAAACAACGAAATGTAGCACTACACATCGGACATCCAAATGGACGTTCACCTGTATGAATACGCCTATGTGTGTCACGGGTCAATTTCGAATTGAATCCTTTGCCACAAAATTCACAGTGATGAGTTGTCTCTCCTGTATGAGTTCGTTCATGATATTGTTTTGATGAAATCTACAATAAAGAATAACAATACTATGAATATTATAATTTATAATAATATAAATTATATCAAAATATTACATTTTAAATAATAATATTTAAATCATCCTGATTTGTAGTACAGCAGGGCCCCCACAAGGAGCCCGTTGGACCTGTAGTATAGGGGCCCAATGAAATTAATTTGCTAATTTATGAAATTTTGATACCAATACCTACTAATTTTATATTAAATAATATTTTATGAAATTCCCTCTTTGTCCCCTCCCCTGGATCCACCACTTGGCACATTATTATTATTTATTAATATAATTCCGGCAGCCCATAGACGGAAATCCATTAAAATTTCAGGGTGGCTAACATTATTAATATCAATGTGAGGGGTGGGGGGGGGGGCTAAGCTCTCTCAAGCCCCCCTCCACTTTTCAGCAATGTCCGGCACACTTTGGATAAAAATTGTCTATTTAGTATTTACCAAAATTAAGTACTTATCAGGACAAAATGGTTTACATGTCTGTGTATCGTAACGCTATTTCTGACTAATTCCTTTTTATGAGTGTTTGAAGTTAAACATTCTATGACACCGAGTGTTCACTTGATTTATCATAAAACAAATTTTTTTTTTTTTTGAAATTAAGAGGACGGGTTGACATGTTGTCTCCGTCTTATAAGTGCATAATATAACACATTTTATGCTCAGCAAAACACGTGTAGCTCCGTCAATTTAATAATTAGAGTAAATTGACCTCTTATAAAATCGAAAGGTAAGATTATTATCTAGACAACCTCATGGGATTTTTATTATATTTTAATTTTTAAGCGAGTTATGAGTACTTTACGATGTACAAACAATTTACAATTTTAAAATACTCATAGCTCGCTTTAAAATTAAAATATAATAAAAAGCCCATAAGGTTGTCTAGATAATAATCTTACCCTTAGATTTGATAAGAGATCAATTCACTCTTATTTTTAAACCAACGGAGCAGCACGTGTTCTACTGAGCATAGAATTTGGTATGTTACGCACTTGTAAGACGGAGACAACACATGCGGGTATCACGTCTTCTTAAAAAACAGATTTTGAAGTGTTTACAGACATTTGAAATTTGGATTTTTTTTCTATAAATTTTGAAAGCTAGAAAATATAATACAAGGAAAGGCTCCTTACTCATTGTTACAATAGTAAAAATATAATAAAATAAATATGCATGATATTTTCGTATAATTATTTAAAATTTGCATTTTGACAAAATTTATCAAATTGAAAATTTGAAAATAATTTTGTAGTTAAAAATGTATAAAATGTTCAATTTTTATAGCTAAGGATTGAAAACATAAAACAAAGTTAGTTCAAATTTAGACAAAATTAAATATTTAAACAAAGAATAACGATTTTAGTTGTTTTGTTGTAATATAAAAATATTATTTCTGGTTACTTGAAACTACCCAATATCATTATATTTTATACGCACAATAACATTTTCAAATGCAAGTTTTTCGGCAAAAATTAATTTTATCTACTATAGTACTAAATACTAATGTATAAAGTAAAATAATTATTGAACCACAAGTTGGCACAAATATTAATTATTATTATAATATACTGACCTGTGAAAATGTTCTGTCACAAAATTTGCATGCATGAGGTTTTTCACCAGTATGAGTTCGTTGATGAATTGTGAATGAAAGTCTGTTTGCCAACACTTTTCCACATTCTTGGCAAGTAAATCTTTGACGATCATTTTTATGTTTGGCTAAATGATCAAGTAGTCCAGATACCCGATTAAACATAGTAGGGCAAAAGTCACAAAGATATTCATTTCGAGTAAAGTGTGTAGCAATATGACGTCAAAATGCAACATAGAGTTCTATTTAACAAAGCAATGGAAGCATTCCATTCTTCGGGATTATGTGGTGGATAATATGTGACGACGCATTTTGGACTCCGTATTAAAAACACGCTGACATTTGGCACATGAAATTTACCATTCTCCTCATCTCCTCTACATTTTTTCCTATGTCTAAGCCTAACTCATCAACAGATGCATCATCATATAGTTGATCGGTCCCAATACCAACAACATCCACTGATTCATACTAAAGTAAAGTAACATTATTGTAATAAATAAAAATTCAATAAGTACATGGAAATAAAAAATTGTAATACTTCTAAATATTCTTCTTTAACTGTAACAATTCCTCCACAATCATCTTCGTCAGCAGAATTTATATCCATAATTTCGATAGAAGCTGTATTTTCCTGATCCAGATCTTCAATATTTTCATCTTCATTATTTCCTAGATTTACCTATTATAATAGCAGTATGGTTTATTGTACGTGTTTTCAATAAGATTACGAAAGCATATGGTTGGCTGACTGTTTACTGGAACTACATAATATGAAGTTTGTTCATCGCCAAAACAAAATTTATTATCAAAGGTTTATGGTACCAGAAACACCAAACCGTTGAAAAGCAAACATTTTAGTAAACCGTAAACAGCTTTAACATAAAATTACCGCAAAAAGAATTTTATAGTTACTGTTCGGTTTCATTACTTTCAGGAAAATGTGCTTAAAATTAATAATTAAATATTGTTAAGAACCTATCAATGAAAAGTACATCTAATAATGAAATGATATGATTTAATATACTTCTAAATAATAAAAATAGAAGAAGATAATATCTAGTGAATAGTGATGTATACATGAATTATGTAAGTATAGAAGAATAAATAATATTTTTTATTTTTTAATAGTAGGTAGGTGGGTACTTACAAAATTATAGGAATTATTTTTATTTGTTTTTTTTTCATAACTCTTCTAATGTTTATTCATTTCAATGGTTGATACTATTAAGTTATGACAATTTTCTAGCCGGCTGATGCACAAATTACATAGTTTGAGTGGTAGGTTATCATCCTTGGAAACCTATAATTTGAAGATGGTAAGACAGGTTTGAAGAAATCATTTAATAAATTGTTTTTAGTTAACTGTAATAGGAAGATAGGTATTAATTTTTTCTTCTAGCTGTAAAGTCACTCCATCGCGGCCAAATATTTCAACATCCGCTGTGTTACCACAGGTTCGGCAAATATCCCATCTATCTCTTTTTTTGTTCATTATCTTTATCTATAATCTAAAACACATTTGTATCAATGAACGCATTAGTATACACCAAAGTTTTAAACAAAAAATATAAAGTAGTTTATCTAAACATTAATTTTATGATAATATATTATAATAACAAACAGACAACATTTTAAGTTTCATTGGTAAGGTTAGATTATATACCTAATATTCAATGGACAATGATTAATTTATAAAACATTTATAATTAATCAAAATATCAAACAAGAACAAATTTTCAGCATTAGAAAATATCCTACAAGGTAAATATAATGGAACTCAACTTCCGTAGCTCAGAGCCCAAAAATCACCAATATCAGATTTTACAATGTATAATGAAGTTAAACTACAGCCTACTCAAATGTTTTTGGAAAAGATGTTAGGAGGCATATTATAAATTATTAAAATATACAATAATATTATGACCATTGGTTCAAAACTCTGTGACGTCAAATACAAATCCACAGAAATTGTTTAGTTTGAGCACTCGGTTGTGATAATGTTTAGTGTGTCGACTGAATAAAACCATAAAATTTAAAGGAAAAAATTTGGAAAATAGGTTTTATTAAGCGGTCTGTTTTTATTTTTTGTCTCAATTTACAGCCAGCAAAATATGTATATTTCATTTTTTTTTTCTTATTACCCATATATTATAATGATACATAGCAATATAATATTAACATAAACAGGACAAACGTCGCCATTAGACTTTGGCAGTTTGGAAGTTTAGCATTCGCAACTCGCAAGTCGAAACTAGAAAGTCGTTAGAATAACAAAATCGAAGACGGATTTTATGATAATTGCGCTTTGAGTAAATCCAATGAAGTTTCAAACGTCACACAAACCGCTCAAACTTCAAAGACATCACTGCGACGAGCGACAATGCAACAGCGAAAAACACAAAGAGCATCACAACGTACGCCCATACGTTTGGCTTGGCCATCGTATTTTTTTTTTCTGTTGTCTTTTACTCACCCAAGGAGAATTGATAAACCGGCGTGCGGTCGTGTTCACAATTTCCCAGTCCACGCTCCGCAGACCTCTTTTGGACTGTCCGGTGGTGGCGTCCTTTTAAGCGGAAATTTAAAGTCGCCGGAAAAAACACGGAGATTTCGTTAAGGAAACGTATTTTCGTCGGGGTATTGGAAAGCTAAAATCACATTTTCAGAGATTATGTACCAACTTATCATTTTTATATTTCGTAATCATTTAATATAATATTTACGTACAACTACTGCTTCGGTACAAGGTCGCCATGTTCAACGATGATGCGCGATTATTATTATTATTATTATTATTATTGTTGTTGTTGTGGTGGTCGCCGCGAAACAGTGTGCCCAACGAGTGTTCACTTTTCAACCGCTGGCAGCAAGAAAAATCCACAACACAACTGAATTTGAAAAAAAGTCAACCAAATAGCCGAGTGAGTTAAGTTAGTATAGTCGTATAAAATTAAAGAAATTCTTTTTTACGCCCAGGGGTTTTTTTTTTTTTTAAAAAACATTCAAACAACTCTTATCAGCCGGTATTCTAAAACGACAATGGTCCCGCCGAAAGTGAGCGTTCCTTTATTATCATCTATGATTGTGTATAACAACTGATAAATGATAACGCGCGTGTCGAGGACCGATGTCCGATAGAGTAACTCGTACGTTGTAGTCGTAACAGTGTACATGACATCAGACATTTGGCGTGAAACGCTCCTCCTAATCCTTAAGTCTTAACGATATTATCCCTAATGTATTACGATACGTACCTAGGTAATAACAATATTAATTATTGTCTTCAAATGCAAGAATGCCGACAATAATTGGACGGTAATGACTGGTCGTTGATGGTGTCCTGCTGTGTTCCTTTCTTTCGGCTCAGTGAGATCGTCGCCTGAACGAAAAATACATTCATACTGTTCCATGTGTGGGGGGACACTATTGCACCATGGTGTCCATCGTGGCCATCCAAACTTTGAAGTATGAATGCCCATTTGGGTGCTGCTCGATAAAGTTTGTTTTATTAATTGTACTTATGTATCGTCTATTCCAGGAAAGCCGATCAACTGAAAGAACAAATATGTACATCCAAAGATATAAACAGCCCCGAGACATTGGCGTATCAACAGCAGTTGAGGGTATGCACACGTTATTGATACTTGTCAATTCTTTTAAATCACAATTTATTTCTACTTTTCAGATCATCTACCAGCAAGTGTTGACTTTGGACTTGGAATATGCGCTGGACCAAAAAGTTGAACAAGACTTATGGAATCATGGATTTAAAAATAACATCAACAAGTTGCAACAACTTGCCAAAGACAAAAAGGTACCATCCACAAAGTTGACTGAATCAAATACCTAATAAATTTTATACATTAATAGTTAATGAATTCACTTCACTGTATTATATATTTATATCAATGGTTTTTACTTCTTTATTAGAATGCCAAACGCAATGAATGGAACGCACTATTCTTATCGTGCCTTGAGTCTGCATATGGCTTTTATCTCATGCTTTTGCACAGCATATGCTTGACATTTGATTTGGATCTACCGTTTCATAAGTATGTAATAGCTAATGAGTAATGATTTTTATTTATGGTACTCAATTTAGTTAATTATATATTATTAATATCCATAGAAAACTGTATGGATTTTGTGACACGGATGATAAGTCATTAGGATCAACATATTTACGAAAACCACAAAAAAGTTCATGCAATTACATTTGTCAATATTGTTTGGTACACCTGGGTGACATTGCTCGTTATCGTAATCAAAATAGACAAGCTGAATCATTTTACAGGTACATAGTTTAAATGTAAATAAATTATAAACATTGTTATCTACTTAAATTAAACCACCTGTGTCCACATTGTATCTCTAAAATATTAAAATACTTGTCTTCCTTGCTATTACTATTAAATTATCATGCTATATTAGAAAATAGTACTTATTACAAAACTAATTTTACATGAGTGCATAACAGTTAACTCAACTCTTTGTAAAATCATCTGTAGATTATAACAATAATTTCTTTTGAAATGTATATACTTGTTCCATTAATCCTTAACTATACTCTATTCAGAATATGAAAGGTACCGAGCAAATGACTTGTGCGCATGGTTGTGGTTTCTTTCAGAATGCCGAACCAAGTGGTTGACGACCGCCAGACAAAAACCGGTCACTGCCCTGTATCTTTCTTATTCTGACTAGAGTTTAGTAATGCCTACTTTTTAAATATAAATATAACATACTCTTTTCAGAAGACTTGCCATATGAGATTCAAACCCCTGAACCGGTGGCACAACGTTTTTGTCACTGTTGGTTATTTATGGTAGGGACTGGAAAGTTTTGATGTTATTTACCAGTTTTTATCCACCGCTTGTTATTTTTTAATTCTGAATAGAGTATAGATATATTACTATTATTAAAAACAAACAAACTTATTAGTTATTTGGTATTTTATTTTATTTAAAAATTGATAAAAACTTAATTATTACTCTTGTTTTTTATAGGGAACTTTATTTAGTGGCATGGTATAAGATAATCATAACAAATACTAAATAATGAATGACATGCCACTAAAGTAATAATTGTTTTAAACAAATAAATATTAGTTAATACAACAATAATTTTAAATTAAGATAGCAATGTTAAACTTAAACAATGTTGTAAAAATTGAAATAATAATCAAATAAGTTTGATGTGTATTTATCTTAGAAAATTTATATTATTTTAACACAAACAATATACTTTTATACAGACATGCCATTCAATTAAGCCCTAACAGTGGACAACCTTACAACCAATTGGCTCTATTGGAAGCATCGCGAGGAGATAGTTTGAGCACAGTATTTTATTACATGAGAAGCATTAATGTTAGACACCCGTTTCTAGCAGCTGTCAATAATCTAAATTTCACATTAAATAAATATATTAGCTCTAGGTGAATATAATTAAGTTTAAAAAAAAAAAAATGTTTTAAATTCTACATATCAACTAACAATTTGTTTTGATACATTACTATTTATATTTTACTGATTTTTAGTCAAGACATGCTGTATAAAACAAAAATCACTAGTACTGAATTTATCCAACTATTTCTCGCATTCCATGGAGTGTTGATGTCAAAAGATATAATGAAACGTCAAGCTTGTGATGGATACATAAAAAGTCTTTCCTTGTCATTTACACCACATATTGCTACTGAATCATTTTCATCATTTAAATTACAGCAGGTTATTATTAATATTATTATTGTTATTAATAGGTATTTACGTATCTTATATATTTAATTATTCTTAGATGGTGGCTATTAATATGTTGGCATTTAACTATATTGGAAATGAATCTACGTCAATTAAAATGCAGTGTTATCCTGTTGTTGATTTACTGGCCACTTTTCTCAATGCTTTTTTACTTCCACTGTACACAATGAAAGAAAGTCAAAATATCTCAGAATACTATACATTACCTGCAGGTAATAAAAAAAAAAATACCAAATTCATTCAATGAAAAAACTTATTTAAATTTTATTAAACCATCAATATCACATTTTGTAACTTAAATATTTTTATACTTTATTTTTACAGTCAAACTAATTCTGGATTGGATAAGAAGTGATATAAGTGTTCTAAATTCTCCTGGTTTCAAAAGTCGCTTACAAATCTGGCCTGGCCTTTGCAAACTATTGAACGGACTATCAAATGATCTAAGCAATGACGATTGTGAGTTACAAACTATTGTATAATATTAATTGTCTTATACTGTTATTATACTGCCCAGTGAAAAATTAATTTTTTGTTGATCTACCATACCAGAAGGTACTTTCGTACATAATTGTTACCTTACTAATATGCCTGCATTGATAATATTAAATACCTGAACCTAATGCGGGTATCATTAAATGTTTACTCTATATACTCTGTGCGACACATCGACTGTACCTACTACTGAACTGCCGTTCACTTCGTTACCTATATATTGTTTAAATTTATATTTTTATATATATAAGTTATACATTTTTATATCAAACTGAAATAGTTACACTTAATTACAAATACCTATCCCTAAATAGAGGTTATTAATATGTTAATTTTTTTATATAGTACTTTATTGATAAAAATAAAATAAAAAAAAAAGTCAAAGAATAAGGGTTAAAACCAGTACTAACTGACACCGAAACCAAAATTCAATATTTTTAAAAATTCAAATCTAAACTCACTCCGATAAAATCATAAAGGTTCCAGTCCCTGATTTATATGCAATGATTTTTCATTGAATTCCAATTTAACACATTCATCACAGGGACTTACTCAATGACAATGTACGTTCAACACAAACTGTTTAGCAGAGTGGTTACCTACTTCCCCACTTTTTGATAATCCAAAATGTATCATAATAAATGTTTTATTACTATTAGATTCTCATATTCCTCTACCAGAAGATAGATTACTCCAAGGCTTTGTTATGTTAGAATCAGTACATTCTAAGCTCATGTAAGTTAAACTATAATAATTTTTATAACACTTTAATTTTATAAATATATCTTATTATTTTATCTTAGATTAAATGCTGATGATACTACAAAAATAAATGTAAATGCTCTAAGAGCTAATCGTTTAATTGATTTTGGTGTATGGTTTTCGTCTACTTCATATTCATTAATTAAAGCAATGTAAGAATATATGATTATTTTTAATTTGTATGCATTTAATTAATTAATTAGTTTTTTTTTTTTTTAGAAAAAAAGATAAAGGATGGAGCTTTGAAATAATACCGAATAGTTCGACCAGCTCTCATTCAATTGATCTCGCTGCTGATCTTGAAACATTATCATCATATCAACAAAGGCAGTTACTTAGTTCAAGTATGTTATTACTAGGGCCCGGATTTTTATGCAAATGCATATTCTTCTACATTTAACTTATAATAATTCTGATTTAATATCTTGACGTTTCGTAATACGTAGATTAAGCTATCAAATTTTTTTTTTGCCTATTTTTGCATATTTAAATGAAAATGCATATTAATTGCATATTTCTATATAATTGCATAAAAGTTGCATTTTTTAATAGTTGATGAATTTTTTTTTTTTTGCAAAGCAAGGCGAGTGTGCATAAAAGTTATTTTAAGCATTGATTGGGAAATTGCCGTCGCCGATTTTTATCGACAGTCAGCGTATTTGTCTCAGATAACTTATCTGCACTTTAGCCTTTAGGTACATATACGCACACGGCTTGTGTATTTAAATTAGTTAGTGACGGTAATTTGTTGGTGTAGTTTGTCTACCGCAGTTTTTGTGTTCGTATAAAATAATATTTTGTCTACTTTAGTGTCAAATTTTTATTTTTCTCTAAGAAAATGCCAAAAGTAAAGAAAGCTCATTGTTACGTGAGAGATTATCCAGGTGTCTTTCGTACAGATGGAGCTATATTATTTTGTACTTTTTGTGAAACCAACGTATCGTGTGATAGAAAATCACAGATTACTCAACATTTAGGAACTTCTAAACACATTGAAAATAATAAGTTGAAATCAAACAAAGACCAGATTAGTCAACAGTTTATAAAAAATTCACTTGATCAAACTAGAACAAATAATCAAAATCTGAATGAGTTTAGTAAAGATATTTGTACCTTAATGGTGGCAAATTATATTCCACTTTGGAAACTACAAAACCCAGAATTTAAATGTTTTTTCGAAAAATATATTAAATTAAAATTACCTAACGAATCGACACTACGAAAAAACTATGCTCCGTTGTGTTATGAAGACGTATTACGTAAAATCCGAAAAGAAATAGGGAATAGGCATAGAATTTGCTAAACTTAAACTAATGCAAGTATTATCGAAGAATCCAGGGTATTCTCAAATTATAAAAATTTGTGGAATATTAAGCGGAGAAATAAGCAATGGCAATGAAGGCATTGAAGAGTTGACACCTGAAGACATTTCTTGTTTTAAGTATGCACCTATCGTGTCTTGCGACGTAGAAAGAAGTTTTTCAAAATACAAATCTATGCTACGTGACAATCGTAGAAATTTCGAATTTGAAAATATAAAATCACATTTCGTAACTTCATGTTGGTACTCGTTCCAAAATTAATATTACATTTTTTATTATTATTTTATTAATTTTGCATTTATTTAGTTAAGCAATAGATATAAATGTATAGTTTGTACACATTTGTGAGCAGAATTATATTGATATTAAAATTGTATTTTTTTCTCATACCTAATATATTTTGTAATTGTTTTAAGATGTTCATTTTTGTTTTTAATACACAATAAAAAATTTTTTTTTTGCATATTTTAGAATTTTTGAGTGCATAAATATGTGCATATTTAGCAATAATTTTTGCATAAAAATCCGGGCCCTAGTTATTACAATAAATTGTTATTAAGAAGTATAATAAATAAATTGTTATTACCTTTATATGATATTTTATTTTTAGGTGAAAGAAAAAGTGGTATTTTAAAACCTCAATCCTCTAGTAACTCAGATATAAAACCAGTATTGCGTAATGTTGACTTTGATTCAATGTTCAAAAAGAATCAAGATACTGAAGCCAAACAAGTAAATATCTTACTGCATAGTATAGGACAATATATTATAGATTATTAATAATTACTTTGTTGTTTAAATAATGTGTAGGTAAAATTCCGGTCACCATCTCCGAGTTCATCATCTAGCAGTGAAGCCAAATGGTCATTGGAAGACCTTGATCAGACTTCTTCAGAATTTGAAAAAGATCAAAATGCTGTAAAACCTACTCCTATTGGTTATCAATTACCACATCCTGTCAACAATTTAAACTCATCTCAAACTAATATTAATCCAGTTATGAATACTTTTGGTCAGCTGCATATGAGTGGATTTCCATCATCTTCTGAAAGTCAATTCCGGTTTGGTCAGCCATTACAAAACTTCTCTTCTTGGCCTCAACCACCAGCCAGTTGGATTGATAGTATTAAACAACCTCAAAAGTAAGAAAATGTATTGTTTTTCTAAAAACATTAATTTGATTTGTAGAATTGCATGAATACTCTACTCAAATTGTTTTAATAATACGGTACTTATACAACTATAATAATTTTGCTTAACTCTTATAATTTTTAGCAACCAACAGAATCATCCAATGTTTCCATTTATGCAAAACCAAGCTCCAATTGGGCAGTACCCAAATGGCACTTGGTCAAATGTTAATCCTCCCCAAGTAACCCATAATTCACCATTGCAAAATAATTTAAATGTAAGTATGAAAATTTATAATAAATAAATAATAAAATAATATTAATTATCTTATACAATTGTTAAGCATTTTAATATAAGAGATGATCAACAGCGTAATTATTACAATGGTGTAAACAACAGTCCATATTATTCACTATTTAATCAACCTAATGTTATGATGCCTCGTAATATGGATACAAGTCAAGAGCCCAATAACAGATCATTTGCTACATTCCATCAGCAGGTATTATTGGTTAAAAAATACAATAAAATTATCATACTTCATCATATTTAATTTTTTTTTATAGTCATTGTGGTCAGGACCAGGACCATCGCCACTTGAACGTTTATTGGAACAACAACGTGGTCGGGATGCCTCAGAAGGAGGGACATAATATAATGAAATGGGATTGAATTGAACCTAACCTGGAATTTTGATAAATTGGCTATCAATGATTATTCAACTATAAGCCTATTAAACTTTGGCTGAAAAATTGACATTTGGAACTACTAAAATAATATCTTAACATGCTTAAGCTACAGATTTAGCTTTGTGAAAAACATTGGGTTTGCAATTTACATGATTTTAATCTTACAGTAGGTGTAAGGACTAAAGTTACTGTCTTTTCTGTAGGGAACCAACTTACAACTTTTTTATCTGATTCATAAATTATTAAAAGTTTGCTACAAATGAATTGACGTCTAATGAATTTTTTATTTTATTCAAACAACTTATTCTTTTGGTACAACATTTTTTCTTACTTTAATTTATTGATGTTTATTATTTATATTTGTACAAGTGTTTTCATTTTAATCCTCAATCATTTTGTAAAATATTGTTTATTGAGAATTAAAAAAAAAAAAAACAGATAAATATATCAATACTGTTTGTCCCTTGCTACAATGTATTTATTTATGTTCAATTTGTTAGATATTAAGATAATTGTTTCAGAGGTTAATTATGTATGAAATATAATATGAAAATTAATTTAAATTTTGAAACAATTCCCTTTTTTTTTTGTTAGAAAATGTAATCATAATTTTTGTTCAACATTCTAGACTGATATGTTTGCATAGTTTTATAATGAAGGAATACAAATGTGATGTTTAATAATTCATATCAGACTGAATTAAAATTATATTTATGGCTATATTGTTATTCAGTTGTTTTTAGGGACAAACTATTTTCATTCTGATTCTCTGTGAATTATAATTGTTTTATACTCGCTTGAAATAGTCATAGTTTCTTTTAATCAAATATATTTTTTTTTTAATTCCTTATAGATTTACATTTCCCAGACAAATTAATACCTTTAAATTGTTAAATTATTTTTACGAGGAAAACTAATAAATTTTTTTTATTTATATATTATAGTATAAGTGATATGTAAAATTTGATTTTTACTACTAGTTAAGTCCTAGAAACCATTTTTTTTAAAGTTCCTGTTCAGAACCCATAGCCCCCACCTTGGCTATTATTAAGTTAATTTTTATTATGTTTCTATTCTTATTATGTTTCTATTCTTATTATATTTTTGTTTGAAATATTGTTTTTGTGTTATGTAGACATTTAGTTCATTTATTTTTGTAATGGTGTAATTAGAATTATTTTATGATGCATATAAACATTCTAAAATCACTAGCATTAGAAATACATTTTCTAGGAATCAGATAAACTAAAATAATAATAATAACATGTTTTCATGACAAATTCTTATTATACTTCAATAAAAATAATTGTTCGCAATTTTCTATATAGTGTTATTATTAAAGCTATGCCCTAAATCAATGGATATTTTAATAGCTATTAACTATTATCATTCATAATATACGAATATTTTTTTTATGTTAAAGCTAGTGTGTGTTATTCAGACAAAGAAAGTTAAATAGGTTAATGATTGTGAATAGTTGTTTACTAACTTGAATAAACAAATTATAAAGTTCTGAATTGAATATAATTTATATACAATAACAACAGGCAAAATGTATACTTTAATACATAAATACAAATATTCATAGGTGTCAGTGAAAGCCTTTTATAACATAAATTTGTAATACATTAATTTTTTTTTGCTTCTCATTTATTATTTTGTTCTTTACAATATTTCTGTCCATGAGTTGCGATAGATAATTGAAGGTCTCCTTCATTCTACAAATTTGTATACAACTATTTTCTTATTTTTTTATTTGAAAACTTAATTGTAGGTACCTACTTATAATTTTCATTTTCTATACATGATAACGTTTTGAATTTATAGGCATTTTTTATTTTCAACTTTTATAGATTTTTATGCTATAAAAAGGTGTGCAAGTGGGTGTCGCTCTGCTGTACAGTAGGTTACAAGTGGGTCACTGTATAATGGATGGTATTACATTTGAATTCAATGATATTATACCTATCATTGTATAAGAAAAACGATTCTGAGCGGAGACTGTATGTCCTTCTAGGTATAAGACATATTATATACTTATCTATGGTATTAAAAAAAATTGACATATAATGAATTCCAAATTAATCATATCACAATATCCATTAGGTACTTATAACACGTTATACATAAACATCAATAACAAACCCTGATACTATCATAGATATATAATAGTACACTTTAGAAGTTTCAAGTAGGTACCCACGAATAATATTATATAATCACAACAAAATAACTAGGTTTTTTAATATGTAATTTCGTTAAAATTTTAACATAAAATGACTATAAAAATAAACTATGATTGTATATTTTTTAGATTTTTCTTTAAGAGAATTAACTATTTATGTGGAATCTTGTTTTTAATTTACAATCCTTAGCTATAAAAACTGAACATTTTATAATTTATTAATTACGATGATTAATAATTTTCGAGACTTTGAAAATTCTGTCAAAATTCGATGTTTAAAACTTTATTGATATTCATAGAAAAAAAAAACTAAAAAAAAAATTGAAAGCTGTAAATGTCCGTAAACAGCTCAAATAAGTCAAAATATTTTCGAAATCGTATGGTGTATAGGCAATGCTAATATAAACATTCAGTGAAATTTTCATGTATCTATAGTTATTCGTTTATGAATAACAATACAAAATAAGGAAATCGCTATATGAGAAATCGAGTGAACATCCAATGTTGTAAAAATTTGAATTTCAAACGCTCATAAAAATTTAATTTGACTGTCCGGTAGAGATTTTTTTATTGATAAAGGTAGACAAACTTATGAGTAACCTTGTGTTACATTTTCAAATCTTAATTTTAAAAAGAAAAATTTTTACGAATTCCTAACTCAAAATAATTTGCTAATTTTCGTGATTTTTCCATATTTTGTCAATTTTTGAACTTTAAATGCTTATAAAAAAAAACTGTACTTAACTAACGATTTTTAATATTTTTCATCTGCCTTTGAAACAATATACTAGGAGCCTTTTATTGAATTTTCAAGTTTTTTTAACCAACAAATAAAATTTTATTGATATTTCTAAAAAAAAAAAATAAAAAAAAATGAAAAATGAAAATGTCCCTAAACAGTTCAAAATAAATCAAAATATTTTGAAAATGTTATCGTGTATAGAAAATGCAAATATAAACAACCAGTGAAAACGTCATGTATCTACGGTCATTTGTTTTAAAATTACACCAAAAACCAAATTCAATTTTCTGAAAAATCGATTTTGCTTTAAAATTCCCGTTTTTCCTTAATTTTTCTTTTGTTTTTCTTGGCGATTTTGAAAAGTACTGGGTATTTTAAATTTTGACCTCCCCAATGCACCAACGATATTCACCTTCCAATCGAACAAGATACTGAAGTCGAAAATCGAAGCATTATTTCGACTACTTATCGTGTACAGACACAAAAAAAAAACACATCATTGTAAAATCAATAGATTCATCGTTCCACTCAGAATCTAACACTATTCAAAATGATAGAAAGATAGAAAGATGATTCACAGGGCCAATGCAGGTTATAAATGTTAGAGTCTATAAAAATATTTCTACAATACTTAAATTCTTAAAAAAAAAAATTGAAGCAGAGAGTTGGCGCCCGCAGGCAAATGCGTTTTAGAAAAAAAAAAAAATTAGAAAATAAACAATAGGACCACACATGAAAGATCTCAAACAAAATGCCCAGATTCTTAAACAGATAAAACTTTTTAAAATAATTAGTGCAGGTTATCAATGTTCACATCTTAACAAAAAATTTAACTAGAGTTTATAAAAAAAAAAATTGAAGGGGGATGTTGGCGCCCGCAGGCAAATGCGTTTTAGAAAACAAAAAAAAAAAAAATTAGAAATTAAACAATAGGACCACACATGAAAGAGTTCAAACGAAAATGTCCAGATTCTTAAACACATAACACAAAACAAAAAAAAAAAATAGAAAAAATTTAACAATAGGACCACACATTAAAGAGTCAAATTATAAAATGTCCAGAATCTTAACCGGATAACACAAAACAAAAAAAAAAATTAGAAATTAAACAATAGGACCACACATGAAAGAGTTCAAACAAAAAGGTCCAGAAACTTAACAGAAAAACTATTCAAAATGATAAGTTCATTAAAGAAAGATGATTCATAGGGCCAATGCAGGTTATCAACGTTCAAGTCTAAACAAAATATTTAACTAGAGTTGAATAACTAAAAAAAAAAACTTGAAGGGGGATGTTGGCGACGCAGGCAAATGCGTTTTAGAAAACAAAAAAAAAAAAATTAGAAATTAAACATGAAAGAGTTCAAACAAAAAGGTCCAGAAACTTAACAGAAAAAACTATTCAAAATGATAAGATCATTAAAGAAAGATGATTCATAGGGCCAATGCAGGTTATCAACATTCAAGTCTAAACAAAATATTTAACTAGAGTTAAATAACTAAAAAAAAAAATTGAAGGGGGGTGTTGGCGACGCAGGCAAATGCGTTTTAGAAAAAAAAAAAAAATTAGAAGAAATTAAACAATAGGACCACACATGAAAGAATTCAAAGAAAATGCCCAGATTCTTAAACAGATAAAACTATTTAAAATAATTAGTGCAGGTTATCAACATTCAAGTCTAAACAAAATATTTAACTAGAGTTGAATAACTAAAAAAAAAAACTTGAAGGGGATGTTGGTGCCCGCAGGCAAGTGCGTTTTAGAAAACAAAAAAAAAAAAAAATTAGAAATTAAACAATAGGACCACACATGAAAGAGTTCAAACGAAAATGTCCAGATTCTTAAACACATAACACAAAACCAAAAAAAAAAAATAGAAAAAATTTAACAATAGGACCACACATTAAAGAGTCAAATTATAAAATGTCCAGAATCTTAACCGGATAACACAAAACAAAAAAAAAAATTAGAAGAAATTAAACAATAGGACCAAACATTAAAGAATTCAAACGAAAATGACCAGATTCTTAAACAGA